TCAATGCGATGAAATTCAATAAAGACAAGAGCAAATACTATGTTTAAAAAGGGTAAATTAAATGCACAGATACAAAACAGGGGATGACTGGTTATGCAGCAGGGTGCCAGAAGGGGAGAGTATAACAAATCACTGCCAATGGACAGGAGTGCAATACTGTTGCACAAAGACATGTGTAATTCTGATTTATTAACAGGAATATAAGATAGAGGAGGTTGTCACTCCTGTCTACTGGTGCCTAGGGGTGGCCCAGTTCCATGTGTCTGCAGCTGCAGAGAAGTCTGAAGAGGACGAACAGGAATGGGGAAGGCTTGAAGAGCAGGACCTGAAAGCCACAGTTAAAGCAACTGATTTTGTTGGGTTGGGAAAAAGAGAAAGGAGCAGTGACACAGCAACCTTTTCTTGCCCATTTGAAGACTCTTATAAAAAGGGGAATAAACCATTGTTCTCTGTGCCCACTGAGTTGGAGTTGTCTCGAACTGTAGCAAAGGGGATTTCCTGTATAAGGCAAATTAAGCACTGACATATCCACAGGGAGGTTGTTGAGTGCCTGTTGTTGGGGGCTTGTGAGAGCAGCCTATGTGAATTCTCACTGATGGTAGAGGTGTGTCTGATCTTGCCTCAGAGCAGAATAGATATCCATTTTTGGTATCTCCAGATTGCCATGGTGGTTTTGCTTAGGATTGTGCTGATTGCCAGGTTGGCACTGGAAGGAATTTGTCCCCAGATCACACTGGCAGGGACTTGCCTTGTCAGCCCAGGAGCTGTTTGCTTGCTGGAGTCATCTGAGTGTCTTACTTGGCCAGTTCATGCAAGGGGAACCTGGGGATTTGAAAATGCCTTTGTTTTTCCTCTTCTCTACCTGTGGCAGGTTTTATTCATTTTTTTAAGCATTGAATGACCAAAATGCTCTTGTTTCGATTAGGAGAGGTGTCAGCAGTTGCAGTACTCCAATGCTGGCAAAGGGCTCCTTGAAGGATAATTAATAGAGAGGGAAGGGATTACGCCTCAGTCAATGTGCATGTGTTGCATGTGGCACCCCTCAGTGGAGTTTTGGCAAGCCAAGGGCCAGCCAGAGGGATGAGCGTGTGCAGGAGCAGGTGTCACCTCACAAGAAAGGCCAGCAGATCCTGCCTGTGGCTGCCTGCAGTCGCTCGAGTCAGCCTCACGGCTGGCATCATTTTGACCAATTGTATTTGTCAGTGCGAGTGTCTAACAGCCTCTGTGCCATGAAAACTGATCAAGCATTATTTCTTTTGTAGGAATGACATCAGAAACATGGGAATTTTCAAATCAGATTCAATAAATGGTCTAATCTCTTTCTGGACAGGAGGCATTACGAGCTGCCATAGACAAAGATGATAGTATTCCCTTGCTAAGAATGAATGGATTATTGCCCTGCTAACCTGCTGTACATAGCAGTGAACATACAGGTTTAAGTCTCTATTTTTTAGTATGAACAAATAGGGTTTTGAATAGTCCAACTTCTTTATAAATAAACAGGCTTTAAGAAATAAAAATTAAAAAGTGGTAGGCTTTTCTAGGAGCAATGAGTTTCACACACTAATTTTGCACTGCAAAAATAGTCAGGTTAAAGATCACACTGAAGGAACAGCTGCAAATCACTGATTTTATTACAGGTCCCATCATGATGAGGCACAGTGAACGACTTGCTGCTCTGTGTTTACTTGTCTCCTTTCTGCTGTTTACACACACTTTCCTTTCTCATGTGGTTCTTTGATCTTACTGTATAATAATTGAACTTTTTCTGTAAATTGTCTCATGCAGACAGAATCCTGGGTTGATTACCACATTCTTCAGGAAAGAATTAACTTCTTGCTGCTACACATACGATTGCCTGGTTCTCTCTACAAATGTACCACCCCACACAGCATGGATACTGCTAATGACAGGAGGTTGTGCCACATTCATGGGCCTCTGGAAGCAGAGAAAAGGCCAGTTCTGAGCAGATGCCCAATTTGATTGCAGTATTATGAAGGCTAATTACTCTAATAAGTGTTCATGGGATTCAGAGATCAGGAAAAAAAACATCACAAACACTATTAAGGTGTCAGAGGTGTGCAAGGAAAATTGGAAGTATTAAGTGCCAATTTCTGTTTTCTGAAATTCAAGTTAATGTCACTGAGAGCTGCTGACAGTCATCCAAGGGCAGATCCTGATGCTCTTGAGCGGCTGTGTTCAAGCTATCTACAATATGTACCTAACTCAGGTACTGTTGACTGCTTTGAATGTAGGATCAAGAGTACCCCAAGCAAATCAGCCTACTTGCTTTTGGGGCTGATGACTCCATGTCTGTGTAATGGATGAAGAGTAGTTGTGACACCTAACTGAGTACTGATAGTAGAAAACTCGAATGAATTTCCACCAGGGAGAAGGTATTTGGAGTGGGCAAACCATGGGGAAAAGCTCTTCACTTGGGGAATGCTGAAAGGAATTGGCTTGAGAAAAAAACAAACCATGAACTTGTGATACTGCTGACATTGTTGCTCACCTCCAGACAAGGTGCAACACATTGTGTTAGCATAGACTTGAGGACTCAGGAGTTATATCTGCTCAGGGTGGTCAGGGTGGACTCAGCTGCTCAGCCTTCACCTGTGTATTCTCTGGTGTGCCAGGCAGTGCCTTGGCTCTAGCTCAGGTGCAAAATATCTACACAGTACTTGGCAAGAGCAGAGCTGACCCTGCACAGCTCGAGCAGAGCTCCCTGATGAGTGCCTGGATGTGCACTCTGATAGCGGGAAAGCCAAGACTTTCCCTTCAGTGAGGGTCTGGACCAGCTCTGTTCCTAGTGTGTGCATTGTGTAAGCAATCTGGATGGTGGTTCAGGGCTTCAGGACAGCTCAGACCCACACTGACTGACCCACAGTGGACCTGCATTTCTCCTCCACGTGCAGCTCAGGGCAGTGCTGGGTTCAGGCTGCAGGTTTTCAGATACTGGAGAGCTCCTTTTCTTGCGGAGTAGTCCTGTCCCAGTAGGGGATACCTGACTGCTCATAGATTTAAATGGCAAAACCTTTGCACAGTGTTCTCATAGGAGGTGCTGTCCTGAGAAATAGCATCCCCTACCTCAAGTGAAGTCAGTTTGCCTTAGAGGCGGGCTGGAAAGTGCAACTGTTTTTCCCAATTATTCAGGAAAGTAGACTGAAGAGGAAGAACACGAATTAGAGGAGAACTGTGTTGGACATGCTAATTAAAACATCTTATTGTCAGGCAATTTTTAAGTGCTATTTTAAAAAGCCTTGATTTGAAACATGACCCTTTTTCTGTGCCAGTATGAGACATGCTGGGCATGTGTTTGTAACCAGTTTCCCTGAATTCCACATTTCTCACTTGGAATTAAAACTTCTTACTGCACCAGCCCCTTCATCAGAAGCAGCTGATAGTGACTGTCATTGTCAGCAGTAGCTCATGATCCCAAGGAGATGTTCCTGGAATACATACCCAGTACATTTTGTGCTTGATAGCCAGCCTTGAAAATCACTGCTTTCCATATGTGCCATTGAACCTGTCCTTTCACTGTTAGCCATTTTATTCTGGGCCATATTGAATTATGCCATTATTTTAATGCAAGATAGCAGAAGTGGTTCCACTTGGAGACTTCCGATTTCTCCTGTGCAAAGACATTCAAAGGTGTATGCCTCTCGAGATTCTTCAGTTGCACCATATGGACGTGAAACTGGCATTCTGATGTATTCTCAGGTGGATTCCTTTTATGTTTTGGTTTTTTCCTTCCTCAGAATAGTATGTTCTAGGTAGGAAACCTGTTCACTAAAGGATTAATTACTCTTTGCTGAGTCTCTTGCTGAATTTTCATGCTCCACAGAACTTCACAGTATAAACAATTTTGCAGGATTAACACTGTTTTTCCCAAGGAAGTACCATCAGAATACCCAATCTGTGCAAAGTATTGAGAGTGCTACTTGTTTTCTGGAATACATAGCAGATAAATAGCTGGTCATAGATAGAGTATTTGGTAAGCTCTAGGATAATCATGACCATTTATCATGTTTATGGGACAGTGTTTCTGCTGGAACTGTATCTGCTGCACTTCTTGGACAAGGACAGATATACCTTTGAAAACCTCAGCAGAACCTGCCAAAATGCCTGTCCCCATCCTGAACTGACAGATGCCCACAGGAGTGTATACTGACAGGCCCAGTGACAAGTCATCCTTTTCCCTTCAGTGTGATTGAATTCCCAGATCTGAAAATCGAGCGTTCTTAATGCTTTTGGTCTAACTGAAATGTCTCTTCTAAACTGTAAGCCATTTATCTGAGTTCTAATCTCTCCTGCTGAGCTGTCACAGTCAAAAGGCAAATCTCCTTTACCAGGCAGACAGATGCTCTGAAGGTGTAGAGAGGATTTCAGTTTTAATGGAGATGTTTTCATCTCCCTGAAACAGAAGGACCCCAAGGACTCATGTCACACATTGCCTGCAAGGGCTCGACTGCACCCCACAAAGGGACAGAAAGGTAATTTGAGGTTGTCTGGCTGTAGGGTAGCCATATGGCAGTGCACTTGGAGTAATTAGCCAGATGGGAAAGGGTTAGTTAGGGTCAGTGATATACTCAGGTGTTTTGAGGACCTTCCTGCCACACCGCTTGTGTTGTTTGGAGATGTCTTAGGGATTTCTGGGATGGTGTTGTGCTACAGTGCAGCATATCTCAGACACCTCACAAGGCCCATCCTAGATGGCAATGCTCCTGTTGCTGCTGGGGGAGGTGGCAGTGACTATGTGCAGAGCCCCCCAGGTGTGGGACTATACCCCTTTTATGGAGCATTGCTGCAGGAAAGTGAGTGATGGAAGTGCTGGAGGCACTTCTGAAACTGCCTGTGAAGGTAAGTGTGCTCATACAAGCTATGCACCAGCATCAGGCCTCTGGTGTTTTAGATTTTAGAAGACCCTGCTGAGAGCATGGGACTCTGTCCTGCTAATGCTGAGTGTCCTGTGCTGACTGGGACTGTCTTCTTGTTTTAAGGTTAAGTGGCAGAAAGATGACATGGAGAACAATTTGAATTTCTTCTCAGTCTCCTCGGATGGGCGGATTGTTTCATGGACTTTAGTTAAGGTAAACAGTAGGTGACAATTTCTTTTTCCAGCCAAATTCTAACCAATTTCCTCCAAAGTTCAATGATGCCTTAGTTTTGTTTTTATTTATGATGAACCATGTTTGAAAAGAAGTGGCAGCAAAAAATTGCAGGTGCAGTCACACCTTGGGCTGAAGCTCCGTGTTAAACTCTGAAATGCGTCCTTGCACTGAAACTTACCTTGTCCCAGGATGGTTACTCAGAGACAGAGCAGAATAATCTGCTTTCTTCCCTAGCCTCAAGACCCTTGCTCCTCAAATGCTCCCCTACAGATTGCAATTCAGAATGGCAGAGGGAAGGTGCAAATTTCTCAGGTGGAAGTAGCACAAAGAAAAGTTGCATTTGCAGTGGGATGGCAACACTGGAATCAGACAGGCAGAGGGTTTACCCCTGCCATGACATTGCCAGTTCACACCCCAGACAAACTCTGTTATCTTGATTGCATGCCCTGCCTTTGATCAGTTTTGCTTTTGGAGTACACATATAGATAGAAATGTAGCAATTTTTGTTCCTAAATAGCCCTTAGACTTCTGTCTCTGAATCTCAATGTGTGGCTTTTTCTGTTGGCTATTTGATTTTACATTTTGAAGATTTCAAAATCTTTTACTTTAAAAACAATTGAATTGCCCTAAGTATGAGCTTGAAGCAGCTGTCCAATTATTCCCCAGCAAGCCAAGAAATTCCTTTACACCCTTGGATGCTCATTTTTTTCAACCTGTTATACCAAGGTACTCAAGGTTTGTCTGTTCTGAAAATTGTGCTGCCATGGGCAGGGATTCATGTCTAACATTACGAGTAAATCATAGTCTCATGTTCACTTCAGGAGTGGGAGCAACTTCTAAAGAACACAGCAGGCACATGCAGTTGGCATTGATTATTAAGTTCTTTTAAAATCTCCTCCAGGTTCATACATGCAGCTTTAGATACAAAAATCTCTCCTGCAAGTGTGTCCCAAGTCCTTCTCCCAGAAGAGGTCTCAGAACTCCCTATGCAGGGACAAACTAACATTGTCCCAGGACTCAGCTCCTGTTTTATCCCCTAAAAGATTAGTGTTGAAGCCTATAGCTGAACACATCCACTTGAGGTGATTTGGCAGGTTACACTTATCAGCTGAGGCTCAGCAACTGAGTGCACTCAGTCAGCTCCACTTAGGGGGCAAAGAAACACTGGGTTAAGACTCTTACTTGAGAGAAATGCCCAAACTGGGACAACCTAAGAGTCTGCAAAGGATTCTGATGGCAACTCACCTGGCAGAGGGTCTTTTGCAACATTTCTGTGATTCATCTGTGCTTCACTGTGTTCCAAAATCATAAGCTTATTTTCTTCATTGCCTTGAACATGTAGCTATACTTACTTTACCATTCTTGGTATGACTTCTAAGACCTGCATCCACGCAGCACAATGTAATTTCTACTTATTCTTTGCATTTCTGTTGGCCACGCTCTTGTGAAAAGCACTGTTTCAAGATTTTTTTTGAGGTGAAGTTACCTCTGAAATTGCCAGAACTGGTATGTATTTAGCAGGCAGGTATGGAAAACAGCAAAGTTTTAGGTTCTGTCTGATTTATTTTTTTTTGGATGGAGATCCAACAGGGAAAGCAAGAAACAGAATAAAAAGAGTGTTTTATTGCAATGTGTGGTTTTGGACCCAGCAAGAAGAAATGTATGATCTGCTTGAATTCCAGTTTTACAAAAGAGCTATCTCTGGGTTTTATTTGGAATAAAATTGAAGAGACTCCAGAGATCTTCTGCAAATCCATACTGCAAATAGGGAATAAATGAAAGAGAGCTTTGTTAATCTTTTTGACAGGACTATCCAGAAGTAAAGCTTCTTCAAACACTGATAGCTGTTTGACACTTCCAAAACTGAGAGCAGAAAGCGAATAAATTCATTCCACCTGGATATTTGGCAAGCTGCACTCAAGATTTGGACAGAAGAGTTGTCAAATGTTAGCTAAGGACAGTTGATCTGCCTTGACCATAGGGGTTGTCTCTATTAGAAATAGGCATAATCTCTTTGGACAAACTTTGTGAGACATCAGGTGAGCTGTGTGTGCTTAGGCTGTCACCTTGGCTTGGTTCGGGGTCATCATGAAGGTGTAAAATGGTGAGGAAGGATGCAGGACTTCTGCAACTGAATGACTCTACTGTCCCATTTTGGTGCACACACTGCCTATCAAAAATGAGATCTGTCAGCGCCCATCAAGGAATTGGTTGGAATGCATCCTGGCACTGCTTCTCAGGCTGATCCTCAGCAATACCAGGTTTGATTAGTAGCCGTAGTGACCTAGCACTGAAATAATGAAGAGCTCTGGGCCTCCTTCATCACTTAGGGCTAATAACAGCTAAAGGGAAACAGGCAGCTGCAAGGCCTAATTCATGAATGCTTACAAAGTGCTTTACAGTTGTTAGGCAGAAGCAACATATTATTGTTCAATATTTCTGAAAGGACAAATTGTCAACAGGGTTTACCCAGAGGAATGTGTGAATGGCTCTGGCAACAGACAGCCCCAGGAACCGATGCATTTCTCAGACTGCAAAGCTGACTACGAAGTAAAAGCAGAGCATCAGGGAAGTCTGCACGAGTAAAGCCCTCTGTGAAGGCAAGAGGCTACAGAAGCTGTCCACAGAGGCCTCCGCCAGGTGCAGGTGCTGGGAGGCATCTTCAGAGAAAGGCTGCAGAAAAGTGTGTACTTAGAGAGAAAGTCTCATGTGTTTTGCCTTTCTACTAGAACAGAGTTAAGTGCACTAACACGTCTCTGGGCCTGCTTCTTGCAGCTTTCTTAGAGAACAGTCACTGCCATCAATAGGTTAGGGCACATGGCTCTGCGGCAGGGCAAATTACTGAGAAGGAAGTACGTTATTTTATGGATTTTGACCTTTCTTGATCCTTCTGTAAATTTGTACTCTCAAAATATGATTAAAATGTCTTACAGAACACTGTGCCCCCTGAACTGCAGTACTGAACAGATGCTCACAAGGTCTTCATCCACCCTCCCTAATATGCAGTTCCCTGGGATTGACTTTGTCAGAGAGAATCTTTTTGCACCTGAGTCCTGCTCTGGGCTTAGAGAAGCTCCAAATAAAGCTTGATTCACTGAGCTAAGAAGCTATGTTTTGTTCTCACAGTGCTCCAGTGGGAAATCTGCAGATTCATGAAAACATCCCGTCCTCAGCCCACACTGCTCACTAATTTAATCTTTAGTTCTTTGTTCTTTTTATCAGCCCCAGGGTATTCTTATATTCACAACCAACTCCACTCTGCAGTGCTTTTTTAATTCCCAAAGCTAGTCTAAGAATGGATCTTTGCCCTCTCGTCGTTTCCTCATACTCACCCACATTGTGTCTATTTTCATCCATCTTCTGTCTCCCACCTCGATTGTAAAGTCTTTGGGACACAGCCTTTTTGCCCTGTGTTCATGCAGCACTTAGTATTGCAGTGTCACGGTCTGCAACAAGAGCTCTGGGGGAGCTGCTTGCTAGATGTTGTTGTTATTTGAATCTCAGAGCCCATGAGGTTGTGAGTGTTGGGAACTGAGGCTGCTCCGGGGATAACAGAAAGGTGGTAAGAAGCAAAGACTGGCAAGGCGGTAAGTTACTATCCATTAGTGTGGGTTTTAGTTAGCTCCATGATAATGCACAATTCCCATCGTAAACCACACAGGATGATTTCACTTAACACAATGATTTAAGCTGACAGCGTCAAGCTCCACTCAAAAAACATTGACCTCAAAACCCAAAGCTTTCCAGGTCAGCTGCATATGTCTGGGGGATGTGCCAGTAGCTCTCAGTACCAGTGCACCAAAGCATTATTTTCCTGGAGTTATTATGTAAAGCAGCACATTAGCAAGTTGCCAACTGCAAACTGAAACATTAAGCAACTTTTGGACAGCTTTTTAAAATTCCTTCATCAAATTTGCCATTTCAAAGTACTGAATGTCTCTGTATTGTTGCTGTAAAGCCTGTTATTCATGTGGACTCTCCTCTGCCTGCAGAATGAGCTGGTTCATACAGATGTCATCAAGCTGTCAGCAGAGGGAACAACGATGCAGTGGCCAGAGGGGCTGCAGCTGCAAATGCTTGGTAGGAGCCCAAGTCCTTGCCATGCTGATTAATTACTGACACAAACCTTCTAATTAGTCATTCTGGAGAACTAAATTGGGAGTGGAGTGCTGAGATGGAAAGGAGCTGAAGAAAGGTTATGCCTCCTTGCTTTCGTCATGTAGTAGGGCATAGTCTATCTGGAATAATGGTGATTAATTGAGTCAAGTTTTGCTGGTTACATCTTTTCCTTACATGTAGAAGAAGATGAAGATTAATTTTAAAAATGTCTGTTTTACTGGAATATCCCAATGCAGACAAGGTATAGAAGTTGCCTGTGTTTGTCAAAACTAAGTCGGTTTTGTTCTTCCCTCCAGACATTGATTTGGACTGGCCAAAGAAAGATGAAAAGCAAATTTTGCCCTTTCGTGGGTGCACAGCTCATCCAGACAGCGGTGGGAAGTGCCTTGTTGGGTGTTTGCTCTCTAAAAGCACATCATCTATTCTGAGCTATTATGTTAGACTCTCTCCATACAAAGTGGAGACAGTGCAGTCCTTCTAGACTGAGACTCCTCATCCTGACCATCCTGGTTTTGAGGTAGGGTGGAGGCAGTTCTGGAGGTCCTGGACTGCACAGAGCGCCTTGAGGAATCCCCTAATCATCCTACTGCACCTGCTTTTGGCTGTGAAGCTGTGGCCTGCGTTTGGAGAAAGCACTTGGTCTGCATTTAAGGATTGCTGTGTTTCTAGGCTAGTAACTGCTGAAAAATTTGTTTGTGAGGAGGTTTGCATTGCCACATAGGTTGCAAGAGACCCGCTAAAGCAGTACACTCCCAGGGGCTTTGGGATTATTTGTTAGTGTTACTAGGAAATGGATTTTCAAAGACTTGTCTTGAATATTTAACAATCTATTTAAATGCTTAAAATGCAGACAGTATTACAGGGTTGAAACGACCTTAACAATTCCTTTGAGGACTACATTTAGTTACTGTTTAAGACATAACGTTTAAGACAGCTGCCTATGCCGTAAGTTCTCTGTAACTATGTGCTTCTGAGCCTTGTCTGTTTGTTCCTGTTTCTCATCTGATGATTGCTGTGGGCATCCCTGCTGGTCAACAGCCTCAGGTTGCTCTGGCACTCAGCAGACATCCCATCTTCTGTGCAAGGAGCCTGCTGAAATTTTCTTTGATCACCATGTGAGTTGGCTTTCTTGGATGATGTTGGATCTGCCTCAGGAGCAGAAGCCAGAAAATCCCAAGGAGACACATTCTGTTGTGGTTGACACCTGTTTTAAACACAGGTCACAATATTGTTCAATTCAGGGCTTTTGAAGTCAAGAGGACCCCTCTGGGTCTGGCAGAGTATTTCTTCCCAAATCACATCCTTTTCCATTGGCTTTACTGAAGTGAGTCTGCTAAATGTCTTCTAAGCTAAGGATGAAAAGAGCACAGGGAGATATGATGTGGTGTTTCCTCTCTGGTCTCTTTTATGCATGGGAAACCATTTATATTTTTGTGAGTACTAAACAAACAGAAAAGATCTGTTCTTTCCCAGTAGGAGGCAGGCCTGGTCCTCGCGACTCTTAAGTTTGCACCAGGCATTTTATTCTTACCAAAGTGAATCCCGGGCCAATTTGTTTTTCCAGTTCCCTTCCAGTTCTTCTAGTTCACTTTTCCATTTCTCTATGTTGGCTTTGCAGATTGCAGTTCTTGGGGTCAGGCACATTTTGGAAAGTGTTTGTAGAAGGGGTGGCTCTAATTTCTTTTGGGAGCTTCTGTCTAACAAATCACTTCTGAAAACCCTGGCTGTGTGTGTGTACCATAGGCAGGGAGTGTGTGCTGGCCAGATGAACCAATTCTCTGTCTGACAGACCTTTCTTCTGTTAACAGGCTGTGGGACATCATTTGATTTTCACAAAAAGATAGACAATTTGTTTCTCGTTGGTACTGAAGAGGGAAAGATCTATAAGGTAAGTATAAGGAAAGGGCTGTCGTCCCTTGTTTTACATCTCCTGACCCCTTCTTGTCTTTCAGGTTCATAATCTTAACTATTTGCTCAGGCAGCAACAAAGTAGAACTTCAGAGCCTGGTCCTGCCCTTGGATCCCTGTGGTGAGCCTGAGACCAGCACAGAGACACAGAGGGTCGCAGGGAGCTCTCTGCACATACCCAATTAAGACCTGATTTTGCAGAAAAGTTTTTCATGCAAACTGCATCCCAGAATGCTTTGCAGATTGCAGCTGTGCAAGTGAGGCGCTAACTATGATCAGAGCAGAAGTTCAAAGGCATTGATCCTCTGTCCGCATGGCTATGGGGAAATGGCAGGAAAAACCTCATCTCTTTTGCTTTTTAGACCTGTTATCCCATGAGCAGCAAGGCTAATGAAGCCTTGTTTCCTAGGGATTGGTGTCCTGCGGCCCTTCCCTTCCACAATTATGTCCCAGATTCCTTCCCCCGTCCCACTTTCTCCTTGCACTCCTATCTCCAGATCCTCACTATCTACTCTAATCCTTCCTCGCTCTGATCATGTCCATGCTGTCAGGAGGTCAGTGATCCCACCTCCACACTATAAACCTTGATTCCTGCAGACAGTGCCAGTTCCCTATGCCTTGCTGCCCAGCCTCACCTGGAAGCTCCAGCCATGTGGTGAGGGCAGCAGCCAAGCTTTGTTTGCCCTTCCCAGGATGGGCACACTGCCCAAATGTTTGCATTGTATGGCCATCCCTTTTTACAGAATGTGTAAGCCTTAGCATTGCCAAGTCCCATGTACACTCAGCTTTGGCTGAAATTTCCAGTGAGGTCAAAAGTTGTTTGGGAGGAGCAACAAGCAGACAGCAGGACACAATTGCTGTGTTTTCTTAAGAAGTCAAGCTGAAAGTGAGAAGTTCTGAGCTTCACTGTATTTAGCCTTGAAAATAAAGCCAGTAGCTGCTTATTCATATAACTTTTACTTGTACAGCATTCCTCTGAGCTGGCTTTGAGGTTTTGTTAATATCGGAGCCACAGCCCTTTAGTGTGGGAGGTGGACCATCAGCAGGAGGCTGATGTGCAGAGTAAATCTATCCAGCCATCCCTAGAGGATGCTGTAAGCTCCTTCCCCATATCCTGTCTGTAAAAGAGAAACAAAATAGAGAAAAAGAACCCAAAGAAAATAGTATTCTGAAATAAATATCAATCATTTAGGCAAGACAAACTTAGCATGTATGTATCCCTTCCAGAGTGATGTTGTTGATTGAAATCTCTCCCTCTGCCAGGCAGTGTCTAGGGAGGATTTCTGAGCAGTGCTCACTTGCATTGGACAAGACAAGTGCAGAAGGGAGGTGAGAGAAGTGGGGGGCTGGTCTGATGGGCAATGGGCAGTCAGGTAGTTGCAATGGCTTTTTGTTGATGCTTTCAGGATACAAAGCATCTGTTCACTCAGAGGCAGATGTTCCGAGTTGGCTGGTCACCCACAGGAGTTGGTGCCCTGTGTGTTGTACTCCAAATTGTTTGGTTACTGTTGTTTCTAGTCCTGATCAAAAGGCAGTGAGGAACCACATGTTTTAACTTCCTCTGTGCTTAGCTGAGTGATGGATGTCAGTGGGTGTGGCAGTGGATGCCGGTGAGGGCCATCAGTTACTCTTCAGGAGAAATGTTCAGGCTGATGTCCTGACTGAGTTACATAGCAAAGGAAATCCTTCGTGGAGGAACATTGAATAGGAACAGAATTTGGCCACATTTGCATTGACAGAACTGTAGGTGTTCCTGACTTAGATGATCTTCAGTGAAGCTAGAACTAGGATTGGGTTTTAACATAAGGAGTTATCCCAGCCATGAAACCATGCAGATATTTTAACCACTTTATGGGTGGAAAAATGCAGGGAGATACTGTTACACAGGATCTTCTCTTTTATTGGTGCTAAGGCTGATTTCAAGGTTACTGGTAAGCAACAAAACATTCCTGGTGAGCCTTAGCAAAAAGTGGGACCACTATCACATTGTGCAACACTGCCCTATAAATCTCAGGTGTTCCCACAGGCAGGAAGAGGCAATCTTCCATCAGGTTGTGTGGACTAACACAAGGAAGATAAATCTTGTGTCTAGCACAAGCAGGCCTCCACAGTATCCACAAAAACAGGGGGAAGAGTGCTTGCATCCTTAGCATCCCCTGAGAGTTTGCTACAAGCAGGTTCAAAATTTTGGGATCAACTGTGGCTCCAGGCATTTCTTAATGACTAGCACCTTCCTCACAGCCTTTATTCAAACACTGGAGGTTTGAACCCATTACTGGAGCTACCTGTGGACTTCTTCCCAGAGCCCTGCTCCACTTGGATGCTGAGGACAGTGACAGTCCTGCACCCGTTTGAGCAGCTCTCGGGCCCTGTGGCTGCACTGAGCAGGACTAAGCTGCTTGGGTCTGTGTTGCCACTGCATGCTGAGTGAGAGGGACAGACCCCTTACATGCTCTATGAGTCAGGGACCAAACGTGGGCTGCTCTCCACATGGGCCGAATTGTAGATTTTTTATTAAATAAATTGAAAAGTGAATTTCATAGAGGCATTTTTTCCAGATGCCAGGCATGCCCACAGATAGCATGATAATATATTAATTCTTTAGCTGCAGAACAATTATGGTGAATTTTTTAAAATGGCTTAGTTAATAGTGTTTCTGAAGCCAAGAAATCATTATCTTAATTACACACAGACCTATCTATTGCCCTTTTATGTAGAGGACAAACTGTTTCTGCATTAATATGATTCTGTAATGCAAAACTACCTCTTTGCATATCTTACTTGCAGTTTAGGAATTGTTCAGCTTTGGTATCAAAATGTATGTTCTCTGAGATTCATATTGAAACTTTATTGTGGCTTCAACTCTTTGGTCAGAGTAATAGGGCTTCAATGGAAAAAGTGTTATGAGATTTGAACATATTCATGTAAGAGAGGAGGTTTTTTTCAGTCTTAGGCAGTTTGCTTGAGGTGTAACAAATGAATATAATAAAACTGTATAGAAGGAAAAGGTGATTCTAATTTTAAACAAAACAAATTTCATTCATACTCATTCTCTCACACTAAGCACCAGGATATTTGCATCTGTGTGGTCAGGACAGGATTTCTTGTGGTTATACAAAGGACAAAGGATGCTGACTGTTGACTCCTTATAACATCTCTTGGGTTTTCCTTAAATGATGATGACAAACTGGTTTCTGGACAGGCTCTCACTTCCAGTGACCCTTTAGTAATGGAGAGATCATTTGCCTCAGTGTCTAAACTTGCTTTGTCCTAGGCAAAGTTGTTTTCCTTATCTGGGTATTTTATGGCTTGAGTTCTGTTCTTCATCTTCTTGCCACCTTATCTTTGGGGCTTCTACTTGTTCTGTCTGGTTATCTAGTTATTTGACTGACTGCTTTTGCCATTAATTAACACAGATCCTTTCTTTTACCACTTCCTGCTGTTTCTCCCAGTGCCTCTTTTTCCATTCATAAGCCTTGCTACAAAAATTAGCATTTCTGTTACAGATCTCTACAAGAAGGCACTGAGCAAAACCCAAGGAAAACCTCTGGAGTTGGTGTCCACAACAACATGGGACATGTTTGTATCAGTGGTTTCTGAAGAGCAGTTGTGTGTCCTGATCTGCCTGAGAATGCCAGTGTTGGGCAGTACTCTTTCTGTTGCCAGATAAACACTTCCCTTCAAAAAGTTTATTTTTTTGGATTTCTATATTGCCTAAAGTCTCAGTGTTTCTGTTGGTGAACTAAAGAAACTCTCTACATTATAAGGACATGAATAACGATCTGTTCACCATGGATGCAGCAAAGTTTTGTGTCAGACTAACAACTAGAGTAAACTGAAGCACTGTTAATGAAGATTATTCATAAGTTTTCTGTCCTTGGAGTTCTCCTTTCTTCCCAGTATTCCCCCGCTATCCTTTGTAGCCGTGTCACCAGGCATCTTCATACTGGTTTCCTGTATTGCAATAGACACATTCGTGCTTTCCTATCTCATCATAGAAATATCATTTACTATTCACACACATCTACCAGCATTTAAAAGGGAGAAAAACAATCTCAGCAAATTGGAGCAGTGCTCTAGAAGATCAGACAGGCTGCACAAATGCCACCTCCCTGTATCTACTCATCCACTTCAAAGCTGTCTTGTCAGGAGTTAGGCGTCACATTTTCCAGTGGTTTTGTTTTCATCCTGACATGTGTCTAATAAGTGTAGGGTTGTTAAAGTGAATAGTAGGGGAAGACTTTGCCAGGAGTTTTAGTTAGCCCAGAAACAGTTTTATTTGTTAAAGTCAGACTTCCTTCTGAGCTTTTACTCAGGTTTGTGGTGTTTCTTCCAAATGCATTTTGGGAAGATAATGGCCTTGCCTCCCACATCAGAGAGGATACCAAAGGTTGGGGTGAATGTGGTGTAGAGCTGGTAGGCAGTGCCAGAGCATGGTGCCTGGCTTTAGACTGCAGCAGACATGCAGGGATCGTTTCTCACAAGGTACACAGCTGGGCATCTGCTCTACAGAGACTTTTTTGCTGTTTATTTCATAGCAAAACCACAGATCCCTCTCCTGTTAGGGCCTGGGCCTCAGTGCTGGACCAGACATGCAGACTACAAAGCCAGTGCCATAGATCAGCACATCCCAGAGCGTGATGGGCGTCCCATATCTGTGCCTGGAGAGCTGCACTGATCAAGGGCTCAGCCCCAACAAGGCTTTAGAAACAGCACTGAGTATTACAGTTCTGTTGGATGCAGACAAATCTGGTTAGGATCTCACTCTTCAAAGTCCTTAGGTATTAGGGACCTTCAATCCACATACTTGGAAGGATAGACGGATAAAGCAGCTTCTCTGTTGTGTTAATTACTCATGACCCATTCTGCCTGTTCCCAGCAAAGTGACTTTCAAAACAAGCCAGGTACCAATTTTCCTGGTGGCTGAACATTAAGAATTATGAAGTAAAGTTATGAAACATGCCATTAAAGAAGATTTCAGTCCTGTAATTACACACAGGCACAGTGGCTCAAACACAGGGTATGCATGAAACTATTAGCAAGCTATAGACACCGTCAGTAAATCTCAGTGGGACATGAGCTGCTTTCTCGTTTCCTTTTCCTACCACAGCAAGACTCCTGGGAACGCAGGAGCTGCTGCTGTGAATAGTTTAGTACCCTCAATCCAGTACCTGCCCCAGTGCACAAGGGCATTGGAAGAAAACAGGTCCAAGTACCCAATGAGTGTCATGTGTAATAAACAGTTAAGCCTTATGATTAGTTTGAGCTTTAGTTTGCAAGAATTAAAGTCATGTAACACTTCAGCAATCCAGCTGCTTGGGCAGATGATGTGTTGCTGCATTCATTAGGGAGTAATGAAAGGTGCTGAAAAGTTCTTGTAGTGACAGTACTGGGGCAGACTGACAGAAAATCCTGAAACCAACCCCAGCCTGCTGTGTAGATAGAGCTTGTGTGGGGGAACACAACCAAGAGCACATTGCTTGTGAGATGAGGTCCTTGCTGATGAAGGAAGCCTCAAGTCCACTCAGAGGGGAGGAGGTTTGTGGAGAATAACCTCATTTTTCTGTGTACACAGAACTGACAGGATCTGGATCGAGTCCTGTATTCTGCTCATGCAGACAATCAGATTGTTATTTCCCCCTTCATGAGCTCACACACAAAGTGACTCTTCCAAGGCTCCCCAAGTGTTTTCCAGCTCTTGCACACATTCTACATTTTGCCATTCAGTGGCACCCGCAGCTGTGATGCTGGAGGGCTGACCCTTGCATGCATGTCCAGTGACTGCCTAGTTCACAGGCTGCTGTTGGCTGCGGTGCAGGGTGGCCCACCTGCCCATCAGGGACATACCTGAGCGCTTGCCAACCTCTTGTGGTTCTCATGTCCCTCCGAGAAGTCATGAGAGGCATAAGAGAAAGCGCTGCAGAGCTGTTCGATGGAGCAGGCTCTCAGAGCAGGCTGTTGCAGGGTGATGGCAAAGAAGGGATTTCTGGCATGTTACCACGATCCTTAGAGCCAAACAATCTGATAGGTCATTCTTGTGCTGAGAGTACCATTACTGGAGGTTTTACTTGTGACACTTAAAATGTTCACAGTGCTGTGTGCTCCTGAGCAGTACAAGACCTGTTTTCCCCTGCCTCTCCTGAGAGCCTTTTACAGAGGCATGGCAGAAGCCCAGGTTGGCAGGAAGGCGATGGAGCTCCTGCAGTGGACAATGGGCTTTGGGGCCTGGCTCTGGCAGTAAACCCTACCAGACAATTTCAATTCCTACCTCTTTGTATTGCAGAGGGAAGCTTGGTGTTGCCTGGAAGTAGGGTGAAACAGCATGTGCTAAATTATTTCATTTCTGTAGCACCTCTGGGTACCAGCCACCTCTTCCCAGGCAGCCCAGAAGAGCCTGGGAGGCCATACAAGTATTCAGAGGCATTTTCTGCAGGAATATGATCTCCAGAAGAAGGTCTAGCTCTGATTACTGACTAGTTCTTTCCATTGCAGTGTTCAAAATCCTACTCAAGCCAGTTTCTGGATGTGTTTGAAGCCCATCAAATGGCTGTGGACTCAGTCAGCTGGAACCCCTACCATTTGAAAGTCTTCATTTCCTGCAGCTCTGATTGGACAGTCAAGATCTGGGATCACACCATCAAGTAGGTCTGCTTATACCTCACTCTCAGTTTTCCTCCTAGGTGTTGATATTGCTAATTACTCTCTTATCTCTGGTTTTGGGGCTGATGACTCAGATTTGTACTCGCCAGGTATGAGGTATGAGATTTAGCTTTGGCTGCCTCAGAAGCTTGCCAAGCAGTGCAGCTCAGCACAGCACCTGAGTGCTTCACTTTGGACCTGGCTTTCTTCAGGCAGGACCTACTGCGGCAGGGTTATTCTTCTGGATCAATGCTATAGAGAAATGTCAGGGACTGGCTTATGGCTTCAGGGGCCAGACACCTCTTAAGAGCCAGAGAGGCAAAAAAAAACCCAAAAATTGAACTTTTAAAAATACATAATGAAGTTCAGGGTTAGTGGTTGAGGAATGCCTGGTTTCAATCAGGAAATTGATTTTGTTGTAAATCAGTCAGAGTCAAATATTTTCTGTTGCCAATACTGCTCTAATATTCAATGTTGTTGTCAGAAGTCCAGAGAGGGAAAATCACTTTTTCCCCTATTATTATCAACCAGAGAGACTCTATCTTGCCGTGTGTGCTGGGGAAAGGCTTCCAAAATTCTTTCAGAAATAAAGAAACATGCTACTTTTTTCTTATCGCAGCAGGACCAATCCTGACCAATTTGGGTTGATGCTCAGCTTTGTTTTGCCTTTGGCTCAGCCCCTGGCTGGTATCTGATGTAGAGAAATACTTCATCTCCCACTTCTGCAGCTGGCCTTGAACAACACAGTCTGCAGCATCAAAGTGTTTGTAGCTCAATGTTTCACTTCCAGAGCAACATGTGTTTAAATGAGTTCTTCTCCCTGGATCTTTTTTAACAGGACTCCGATGTTTGTTTATGACCTGCGTTCTGCTGTAGGGGACGTTGCCTGGTCCCCATACTCCTCCACGGTCTTTGCTGCAGTCACCACTGATGGCAAGGTGAGAGGCTGGGAGCAGCACTGCTCTGATTTGAGCTGAGAGTAAGTCAAGGAAGATTAGGGCTGAGCGTGGGAACAGGTCAGCCCAATCCTGACCAAGCACATCAGGGATCTGTGGATCCCCCACCAGCAGGAA